AATAGGTATAAAGCATGGAAATCAAAGTGTTTATGGTTTAATGTGATTCAAATGGGAAAAGTATTTGTTGTCAGAGCTAGGAACACAGGCTACAATATATAAATCAAGAAATAAGATTGTTATAATTTGAACTATGCTCCTCTGAATAAAACCACCATATTTATGCCCTACCCCCCAGTCCATTCAAATGTGACCTTATTTGAATATAGGGGTTTTAAAGAGGTGACTGAGGTAACAAAGATACCATTAGGAAGAGCCAAATCTGTTATATTAAGACTGCTGTCCTTATTAGAAGAAGATTTGGACATGGACAGTTACAGAGGGAAGCTCATGCCAAGACAGAGAGGAAGATTGCCTACAAGCCAAAAGGAACAAGGAAACAATGCTACCATCACCTCAATCTTGGACTTTTAACCTCCAGAACTATGAAAAAAAAATAGATTTCTGATGTTTTACCTATCCAGTTTGTGGTATTTTCTTATTGTGGCCCTAGAAACCTAACACAATGGCACACACCCTTGTAAGAATTTTGGCTTATTCTCACAAGCCATTGCAAAATTTTACTAGGAGTAGAGGAGAGCTGGGGATATCTATGAATTTTAGGAAGAGTACATTTGTGGTAGCAAGGAGGAAGGGTTGGAATAGGGAAAAGATTTGAACAGTAGACATAAACTAAAAAAAGTACTTGCTGTCAGTGGGATCTATTCTAGGAGAAGGTGAATATAAAACTGTAAGAAGGATCAGAGTCAGGGTTGTTGGAATTAATGATATAGTGAAGGTAAGTGGTATTGACACTTGCCATGGAATGTGAATTAGTAAAATGTGGATATGCCAAGAGCTTCAGATAACAAATGGATTACATGGATTTCAGAGGTCTCATTCTTGAGAAAAATTTCCAGAATGGAGACTTGAGATAGCTTATAGCAGCAGCATTCACACTGTTCCAGATGCAAATAGTGAGAAAAGGAGACTTCTGGACCAGCTGCAGTCAGGATCTTACCACTTGGGGGTTATCTGGTCTATACATCACTATACCAGTGATTTGAAAAGTTTTGCAATGAAGAATTCTCTAACTTTACACAGAAAAGAATTTACCATAATGATTATGGAAACATTTTTGCGAGTTACTGTTCAGCTCTTCTGAATATGAACACTCTAGAAATTAACACAACCTAGAAAATAGTGGTGCATTTTTGATGCCCTAGAGTAGCTCCAATTTATATTTTCAGTAGCAAAATCAGTTGATGTTGTCTTAACAAATTGGTGAAATAAACTTATAAAAGGAATATAGTTGGTTTTCCTATGGCCTAGTTACTATACTAGTTTTTCAATTTGAAATCTTTTGAAAATAGCACCAATTCTTCCACACCTTAAAGGAAAACTACTCAGTGCCTTAAAAAAATACAGTGATGTTATGGTGAGTGACTTAAGGGCAAAGGGTAACTCCAATGGAAAAATATTCAAACAGGTTTTCACTACTTTCTTTGACACTAGAATACTAGCAGTTCAAACATCCCCATAGTCCAGAGTGCCAGCGGTAACTCACATGCGATGCGCACATAGGCCTTCCGGCTCTTTGTGGTGCCTGCCGAGCTCCAAGCCACACACTGGCACCAATAATCTTCAGGTCCAAAAAGTTCTTCCACCTGCTGGCGTGAAATCTCAATGCTTACTTCACGCACAATGAGACCTGCCAAGAGAAAGGAGGATTATGGTTAGAAGACTTGTAGTACTGATGTATAAAACACAACGACGTGTTTCTCGTGCAGCGACTATTCTTTTCGTTTGTCTTCAAGATTTTATTTATTTTTCCATGTAAGAAACGGGGTGGGCTACAGGTGCAGGGGGTGAGAGGACTCACCAGAGACAGAATGGGGAGCAGAACAGACAGATTCACGGAAATACACCACTGAGAGGCAGTGGGTGAGAAAGGAGAGGTTTGGTGTGCCATGGGGGTCAGCTTCCCAGCCTGCTGGCTGGGGTTGAACTCAGGCCACAATAGTGGACCTCCATAATGACCATTCTTAATGCCATTGCTCAGCATAAAAGATGTCTCTCATGTTTATGTTATTCCTGATTTGACACACCTTCTGATTTATTTATTAGCTATTTCAAGTTTGCTGAAGGATGTGAGGGTGATTTGGCTGTGACATCTGTCACCCCACTGGTTGTTAGGGCTGATTCCGTTGACCTGGCTGGTTAGGTGGGTGTCCCCTTCCTCCTCACCATTCCGTGTGCGTCTCTCCTGAAGCAGTGTTCTGAGTCTAAGAGGATGGCCTTGCCTGAATATGGACTGGACAGTTCTGGAAAGGACATAGGACTAGTTGGACTCTCCACTAGAACCTCAGAACAAGCTCGCAAATCTCCTGGATTTATCAGAAGATTAAAATGGAGGATATTTATCACTTCACAAAATTAAGCCTTTCCCCATTAAGTTTGACTAATACTCATTCTCCATCCAATTACCACCTACTGCATACTCGAATTTGAACTTTCTAACTTCACATCTTCTAAGGAGCCCACCTAATTATAAAGGTTATGAGAAACCCACATACTGTTTACAGCTTTAATGACTAAATTTTCCTAATTCTTCACATGAAATGATAGACCTGATATAGTCATACACATATGCCTGTTATAGATATTAATATAACATGTTTTATTTTATCAGTTAGTGCAGTTTACACCTACACAGAGTTCACAAGCTTTAATGACTAAATTTTCCTAATTCCTCACATGAAATGATGGACCTAATATAGTCATACATATATGCCTGTTATATATATATTAATATAGCATGTTTTATTTTATCAGTTAGTACAGTTTACACCTACACAGAGTTCTCAATACGCTGTACACAGATTTGCAAAAACTAAATTTTCTCAATTCTTCACCTAAAATAAGAGATAATGGCCTAAGACAATAATCATAAGCATATAAATTTGCATATACTATACATGCAGCATATATATATATAAACTAAATATATAAAACTTTATATACATTTTAGTACATATAGGTAAACTATATAATACACTTATATAATCAATTATATATAAGGTTATAATCCAAAAAGCTTAAAACTTATTTTATTAAAAAAAAGATTTATTTATTTATACATACAAGAACTGGGGTACAGAAAGCATTGAGAGGATTCACCAGAGACAGAGTGGACAGACTGGAAAGCAGAACATACAGATCTACTGAAATATACTGCTGAGGGGAGCAGCAGGAGGGTGAGGAGAGGCCTGCCGTGCCATATGAGTCATCTCCCTGGCCAGGGATGGAACTGGAGCTGAAGTGGCTGGGACTAGCTTCATAGCTCTGAGTACCAATCCATTGCACCACCACCAAATAGGACCAGGAAATTGTTTTCTTGAAGGAGATATTTGGCCTTAGTAAGAAACATGTTAATCTACCCACAGAAGGTGTGACTTTGGTTTTCATGCATAAACTTCTGAGAACAAAACATTTCTCTATAAATGCAAAGTAACCAGAATCTTTTAAAGGTAAAATGAAGTCCAGCTGAAAAAAAAAAAATCAAATAATTGGAATTTAATTATCTTAAATTACATAATTTGAGCTAAGATTCTAGAATATTTTAGATGTATTTATCTTGAAATATCAAAGCTTATTTCAAGATCTATTCTGCAATATGCCTTTTTGCTCAGAGCATGGAGATCATCTGAGTAAGATATATACTATCCACCTACATTCAGTTGATACATTTTTATTTTATTTTTTAAAAGATTTTATTTACTTATGCATACAGAACTGGAGTACAGGAGAGAGGGGCAGGGACGGTGAGAGGATTCATCAAAGACAGTGCGGGAAGCAGAACAGGCAGATGGAGGAAGTACATTGCTGAGTGGAGCAGCAGACAATACCGAAGAGGTCTGCTGTGCCATTGTGGGTCATCACCTCTGGGGCCAGGGATAGAACTTGCACTGAGGTGGTTGCAGCTCACTTGCAGTGCTGTGCTTTAACCCATTATGCCACCAGGGAGGGCCCCTGAAAGTACACATTTTTAGAATGGAATTTCCATTTAAAGAACTGGCCATATACCCTTCGGACTGAAAAAAAAAAAAGGTTCTGGGTCATGTGTGAACACAGTAAGGAAGATTAAATATTTGCTTTGTACTATTTATTCATTCATTTATTCACTGAGCAAATATTTATTAGCTATCAACTATGCAAAATGATATTGCACTAGATATTTATAAAACTCCAGTAAGTTAGTCATTGCCCACAATAAACTCAGAGTAGTATGAGGAAGCATATGTGAACTATAGGCTATACAATGCATTATTTAATTAGAGTTGTGATCAGTGCCGCAAAGGAGATGTGGAGGGGCAATGTGATTCAAAAGCAAGGTAGCCCAGTTAGCACGATGATCCAATATGCATTAGGTTGGATAAGTTACATAGGTAGAAGGGCAAGACATATGCGGAGAAACTGGAAGGAGAATGAGGAGCTTGAGAACCTGGAAGAGAGGCACTGAACCCAGAACACAAAGAAGAGCAGCATGAGATGAAGCTAGAAACAAGAAAGGGAACAGTTTTTATATTCTTGTAGAGCAGTGGTCCTCAAAGTGTGGTCACTAGCACACCTCTGATATCATCACCTTGGTGGAAATTTGGAAGTCTTGGGCCCTAGTCTGGACTTGTTGAATAAAAACTTTAGTACAGCTAATAAAACATTCTCCATAGCAAACACCCTGACTTATAAACAGATAATGTTACTGTTCTTCTTTGCTGGTTCCCACTCAGAGTTATCATTTTCTTATTTGATTTAGCTATTTTCATTTTTCTGATATCTAAAAGGCCATACAAAGAGCAATGTTCCTCCCATTCTCTACTTTTCTTTTTATTCATGCTCTAGTATTTAATGTTCTTGCCTGTTTTACTTGATTATACCTCTCTCTTCATGCAGAAATTCAGTTAATGGCAACAAAATTCTTCCTTTAAAAGTATCTGCGGTAAATTTATAGTCAGCAAAGTGTTGACAAACTTGTAATGTGTATTTCCTTAGAATGGTAATGGCAATTTTAAAAATGCAGAGTAGCTGCAAACAAGCTCAGGATATTAAAACCACATACAAGCAAATATTTTGTGTCCCGAGATGATAACTTCAGGTTTCACTCCCCCTTTTACTTAAGGCAATTATAGGAAATTTAATTAAACACTAGGGGATCTCCACTAAGGATAGGGTTTTTCTACTACAACTCTGAAGTCTTTTAAGACTACACAGGCTCCCACTCCTTCTGCAGGAATTATAGACAATATCAAGGTCATGAACCCCTGTGGGCATTTGAGTCAAAGCACATACCCATTTTGTTTTCTGTTTGACAGACACACCCCTGCAGGAGGACCATTAATTGCAGGTGTCTAAGGTTATCCTGTCACACTCCCCAAGTTTACATTCCAATTTGCAGTGAGCAACACAGGAACCAGAAAGACTGAAGATGGAGATATTCAGACATTCAGGACTTAGAGTTCTTAGGAATAAACTACATTTTCCACACGGAACTAATTGTTTATATACCATCTCTTCATTACCATAAGAAAGTTCATTACCTATCACATTTTATTCATTAAGCCACAGACTAGTGTTTAGGATAAAATTAGGTAATATCTTTTCATTTTGAAAGTAAAATTTCCAATTGGTTAGAAGTCTTGAGGTGGGAAAAGCAAGCCTCCTTGAAATTGGAATTCCTATCAGCATAAATTCCAAGATGGGCTTGCTTTGAAGAGCACTTGGGAACTTGAAATTGGTGTCAGGTTACTTGAGGATGGGGGGAATGCAGTGGTCTACAAGATTTCCTCAAATACGAATGAATGTACATTTTCCATTTATTCACTAAGTTAGTCATAAATTTAATTTTATAAATGTACATTCAACATCAAAGATTTCGCATCACTATTCTTCCTTTAATAAAGGCATCTTAAGGATAGGTGTTGTTTGATGTTTGCAGTGGCTTGCTTTTATAATAGTATGATTCATTATGGTTTGGGAGATATGTGTGTAGTAAGGTAATTAGCATGTTATGCCAAGAAGACTTATAATGAGTATAACTATGTACCTATTAACAGGGAATTTCAAATAACTTTGGAAATTTAAATAAAACTATAAACCTCTGATTGGATCTTTGTAAGTCAAAACATGGATATGGCAATAAAATACGGCAATTATATTTATTCACTAAGTTAGTCATAAATTTAATTTTATAATAGTGGTCAGGCACACAAATGTTGTTTTATTAAAAAATTAATTTATTAGGAAATTAAAGTGATCATAAATACAAAATAAATGCTATTGAATGCTTACCTAAAATAATACCCATAGTCTAACAGAAATGTATTTTATACTGCTGACAACAAATATTACTTATGTAAAAAATTAAGTTCTAAAATATAAAGGTAAATCTAGCATCACTTTCATGATTAAGCTGTTCATTTGTCACATAAAAGTTATCTTATTTATTGGGTGGTAATCAAAACTGTGTATTATCTTGAAAGGTTGTTTTCAAATGTGATCATAAAATTTGTCCCTCCTTGTAATCATGTATATTTCACTGACATTAGACATAGATATTATGTATGCCTGATCTATAGCTTTCATTCCTCTGAATTTCTACATCTTTCATATGGAAAAGGTAATCTTTGAGACCTCATGTTGTACAGACATCGT